ATGGGGAGGCAACCACATCCCCCCCAGTGGAACCTTCTGCCCAGGAGCAATATCATCCTCAGCACTTCTTCCCCAGGTGATCTCAAGGTGCTCCACAGCTGATCTTCAGTTTGGAGAGGTCCAGGGGCTCTGACTAAACCCCAAAGGCCTTGGGTAAATCTGATCTGCCTCTGATCTTAAAAGAGCCTCACAGTCTCTGCTAGTCCCAATGGAGGGAGAATTTGGGATGTGCAGACAGGTCCTTTCCTCCAGGAAAGACAGAGATGTCCCCTCCAATGCCCTGTGCCCCAATCTCTCCTTTATGCAATCAATTCCCTTTGCTCTCCACTAACAAACCTCATCTCATCCCTCCATCCCTCCTTCCTTGCCCTGGAGCATTCTGCAGTGGAAGGGATGAACAGTTTCCCTTCTTTGCTCCAGGCTGTAATGCAACTTTCCTTATTTTCCCTCTGGTCTCCTAGGATCATCTCGAATGGACTTTACGGGCTAACCCCAGTGTCAGCTCAGCTCTGTGCAAATTTGTAATAAAGATATGTAAAGAAAACCCCAGAACATGTCCTTTTTTTTTTTTTTTTTTTTTTTTTTTTGTGGTTAGAATAAAGAAGGAATGTGGTAGGAATGTGTCAGCTGTAACAGCTGAAGCAAGGGGAAGCAGTTGGACCTGGGGTGAGGGGTACCAGGGGTACCCTTGGGATGCAGGACGTGAAAAGGGAGAGAAAAGGACTGAAAATACTTGACAAAAGGGAGATGAAAGAGGGGGTTCAGTCTTCCATTCCTCCCTGCTGGTGGGGCTCAGCAAGGACGTGCTTGTTTGAGATTCACAGTTTGTTTCCTTGGCCTCAAGTCCCATTTCTGATTTTGGAAACATCACTGGGCCTCATCTGCAAGGTATTCTCTGTGTAGATAATACACAAACTGCTGCATTCAGATCCCTGAAGAGCTTGAGCTTGAGCACCAGTGGCTTTGTGCAGAGCCAAGATCCACCACACACCCTTCTTTTCCTGGTGAATAACAAGGGTTGAAGCATGTTTGCTGTGTGGCAGCACCTCTGAAGGGGCTGACACGTTTCACCAAGCAGGTACAAATAATTGCTTTACACTGCACAAAGGCAGTCGAGGGCCAGGGACTGGCTGTTAAAATGTTTGCAGTGACACTGTGCCAGGCTCTGTGACGGGAATTCACCTTCGTGTAATTAATTCTGAGGCTCTGTCACTGAATCTAGTTCTCCTCAGATAAAGCTGGTGTTAAATAGGCTCAAAAACTTGCCGTGTCAGTCCACTTTGTACTTGAGAGGAGATGTACCTCGGGGTAGGGGGAAGGGAGGGGAGGCAAATATGCTGATGGCTGAGAGACACTGAGATATGCTGGTAATGGGGCCAGCCAAGAGGCAGAGGGAGAATAAATAAACATAATTTGGAAGTGACAGTCTGTCTGGCATTGTACTGCGGTCTGCTAAGATTTCTGTTTTTAAAGGATGCAGTAATGTAGTGAAAGCAATATGGTGAAAGGGCTCTGGTATTATCGATTAGCTTTGATCCATAAATTTCTGCTGAGCTCCTTGAAAACAGATGAGATAAGGATGCAGGACAGATGGAGGACAGATCCAAACAGATCCAGGTCTCGATGGTGCTAGCACCACAAAATGTGACCCTAAGGACAACTAGAGTGGGAATGAAGGGGCTTTTCACTGTGGCAGGTCTTGACTGGGTGTAAAACTAGTGAAATCATAATAACCATAGAAAGCACTGAATAGCTGGGGTTGGAAGGGACCTTACAGATCACCCTGTTCCATTCCCTGCCAGTTCCATGGCAGGGACACCTTCCATGACACCAGGCTACTCCAAGCCCCATCCAGCTCTTCCAAGGATGGGGCAGCCACAGCTTTTTTCTGGGCAACCAGTGAAGCTGATCTGACTGAAGGCCTTCAGGTTCTCCTGTACTTTAGGGAAACTGTTGGGGCTGTGAAACTGTACTTTAGGGAAACTGTGTTGGGCTACAGTGACAGGGAAGCCTGTTTGAAGGGTCTCAGGATATGTGTGGATCCCTGTGGAGATGTCTTGCTGAGCTGGCAGATGGAGGGGAAGCAGAAAAAACCCAGTCCAGTGGCTGGCAGAGCTGATGGGTCACTCATGAACCATCATGGATGCTGAGCTGAGCTACTCCCAGTATCCCAATGCATCCTTTCTGTCACACATTTGCTCTTGGTTTTTGGTGAGTGGTTGCAACATGCTCTTGGTTTTTGGTTGCAACATGGGAATTTTGTGAGACAATCCCATATTCCTTAAACCTCTTGAGGTTCCTTTGCAAGCTTAAGTTGGGGAGCTTTATCAGAAATACTTTTCCCCACTGGCAAATTCAAGCATCTGAGACCTGTTTGGAGGGAATTTGACAGGTCAGGTTTCCACGGAGCCTGGAACTGGCAAATGCATTGCAAGTTGCCAGCAAGTCTTTGTTTATTTTTCTTGGTGACCCTCCAGACAATCACATTCTCAGATTCTGGTGATTCAACATTTTATTGCATCAGGGACCAGCTGTGGTCAGATTTGGCAAAGCCAATGGCATCTTGCCAGCTGTCAGTTCTGTGCTCAAGGCTGGAGTTTCTCCAGAGGAGCTGTGTGAGGAACAGACCATCCCTGTCTCACGACTCAGAGGTAGAAGGGAAACAGCTCATTTCAACTGCCTGGTCTTGCAATGATCTCCAGAATGCTCCAAGGACGACCAGGGAAATTGTGGGCTTTTCTTTGGACCATCCCTGCATCCTCGTGGTTTTTTACACTTGCTAAGCTCTCTCCCACAGCATCAGGTCCTTTTGCAGATGATGCCAGAGCTCTCTTGACTCATCCTCCCACGGAAGTCTGCACCCACCTGGCTCCAACTCAGTGACATGTTTCCCATCCAAACACTGACTGTTTTTACGGGATTAGGCCTCGCATGCTGGTCTTCAGTGGCTTGGATCCAAACCCTAGAAATGTCCATGAAGAAATTCCTGTTTGTTTCAGCTTTGGACCTGGTGCCAAGTTCTCAGCACTGTGCTGAGCACGAGCCAGGATCCTGCTGTAGGCAATATCTGATGCAGTACTATGTCACCCCTTTGGATTCCCTGTCTTCAGCTTTTAAACCCCAAAAAACGTGTTTTACTCAGCTCCCTAATGGTTATTCAAGAACACAAAATTGGAAGATGATTCCTTGAACCATCAAGGCTAATCCCCTGTTCCTCTGGCAACCATGCTACTCAAATCTTTGCATAAATCTCAGTTTTGACTGTAATTAATCTGTTTGACCCTTTAAACCATGGCTAGCTTCTCATGCATGTTGCATCCTTTTTCTGCCCAACATGCAAGTGTGTTGTAGAGTCTTTTCTAGCAGAACTTGGCTGCTGTCATTATCAGCTCACACCTTCTACTCCCACCCCATCTGTGCCTGGCACTATTTTCATGCATAATACATCGATCATCTGCAGCCTGGTGGGGGGGAAAATCATCACTTCAAGTCACTTGTCTGAATTCAAGCCACATCTGAGCTGTATCCTTTGCTGAATTCCATATCCATGGTTTGATAAAAGGGAGGGAAACCAGCAAGAAAACTTCAGGCTCCTCCTGTCTGCAAGGACTCCAAATCAAATATTGTGTTTATAAACCTTTGAGAGCCTTATGGGCCACAGTCAAAACTGGTGGAAATCCATGCAGGTCTGATGGACTCTTGCAGCAATGCCAACTGATACCAGGCAAAGGATAAGAGCTCTGTTGTGTTTGCTTAGCTTGGTTTTCTGCAGTGCAAAGCCTCTCCTCTTTAGCAGGTTGGATGGGCCTTTGTGAATATTTGACTGATTTTCAACCGTGCTGCTCTTCATTTACACCAGCATGGCTGGGAAGAGCACTGGTGCTTCATTCTGGGAGACAGATCTTCAAAGAGTAATGCACACGTAACAAACTTGATTTTGAAGTCTCTCAGGAAGGCTTTGAAAACAAAGGCTCAAATTCCAGAGTAAGTAGAAAGACCTTGGTTCCTAGTGGTGAAAGCTTCCTACCAGAATTATTCCCAGAGGCAGTACAGACCTTACGTTTTGCCTCATCTAAATGCATTAGGAGGAGTATTAAATTTCACATGTGCTGCATATTGATGTAATTCTCCTGACATGTCTGTTTGCACCATTATGAAATAAGGGATTTCCTTTCCCTTTCTTTCCACATTTGCCTTGCTCCCTAGGGATCTCGAGGATATGATCCATTGGCATACAAGGATTATGCCTTTTACACAGAGGACTTAAAAAAAGCTTTGTCATTGGGCTAACAGAGGTCTCGGGACAGCATCCTGCATTAGCAGTGCTTGACTTAACTGACAACCGATGGCAGGGAGAGATCCATTAATCTTCTGTGTCACCCTCCCTCCAGGCCCTGCTCAAACTTTGTGAGGATGAAAACTTTGGTGCAGGAGAACCCTGAGGGTCTTTTCATGTAAAAACAACACCTCTGTACCCTACAAGCATTCCCCAACCCAGTCTGGCATTCCCTTTTGTGATATTTTTTTTTAATGTCAGGTTCAGGGGAAGGGTGTGTCTAAACAAACAGCCCCCAGATATCCTGCCAGTTTTCTGCAGGTACAGAGTTGGGTTGGAGGGTGCTCTGCCGCCCTGCACACCCCTCTGCAGCCCTGGAAGGGTGACCACCCTTGGGTCCCACACCTCTGCTGCCTCAGTGCTTGGCTCTGCTTGTGACTTCATTCTGCGTCACAGCTCCACGACGTGACAGGGACAATGTAAATGCCAGCTTTGAGCAGAGCTGAGGGCCTTTTCCTTCCCCATAAATGCTGAATGCACTCAATCTTGTGGGCAGTAAGGAGAGGGCAGAGTTCAAGGGAAGAAGAGGCAGAGTTGAGATTTTTTAAGCCTTTTTTTTTTCTTAACAGGCAGATTTAGATTGCTGAAAGAGAGCCATAAAACGAATTTAACAAGCCGAGGGAAATAGAGGAGACAACCAATTCCTTGAAAAGTCAACACTGACCTTACTACACAGACTTGAGGGCACATTGTCTTCTTTCTCTGGGAACACCTGTGCCTATGCTCTCAGATCCTTTATACAGGGCTGATTGCTCCATTTCTCAGCTCATCAGCTGGATGGGACAAAGGAATGTGTACTGGAAGAGATGAATATTTATATGGTTAGAAAAGGCACTGGAGAACACGCCTTGCTTTTACCTTCAGGTGAAGTTGCTGGCAAAGAACCTGTGATTCTTCAGACCAAAGGTTATGAAGTCATATATATAACTTTATATACATACATATATATATATATACACATAGATGATTTTATATACACATGTATGTGTAAAATAATGAGCACCTACACACAGGGAAGCACCCATGTGGCCTACATCAGTGTAATGTGCATACAAAATGCTTTCATGCACAGCTATAAACCACATTCCTTAATTTTGTCTGTGATTCAAGCACTTAATCCAGGTGGACTGGAAACCCTCCTGTCAGTCTGTCCCAGGCAGGGGAGCAGGGACTGAAGGAGAAGTCTGAGAGTGGGGTTATTCTGCTCGGTTTGTGCTGTGCCTCTTTCTTGCTTGGGTTGATGGTGACATCTGGAGGCTCTGTCGTGTGTGTGCACAGTGACTTTACAGAATGCTAGAAGCACGGAATGATTTGGACTGGGAAGGACCTAAAAGACCACCTTGTTCCAAACCTCTGCCATGGACAGGGACACCCACTGTTGATGCAAGCCCCATCCATCCAGCTTGACCTGGAAAACGGCTGGGATGGGGCACTCACAGATCCTCTGGGCACCGGTGCCAGGACCTCACACCTTTTCAGGGAAATATTTCTTTCTAATATCTAACCTGACCCTGCCCTCTGTCAGTTTGAAGCCCATTTCCCCCTGTCCTGTCCCTCCATGTACATGTAAAAAGTCCCTCTTCAACCACAACACGCTTTTTGTCTCAGCTGAGGGACACCTGTGCATAAAGGGGGTTTACCTATCATGTAGGCAGATCCCAAAAATCAGCCACTATCCATAATCCCAGAAGGGAGAGTGCTCTGCCTGTCCTTCTTTACTCCACCTCTCCTCACCCTGCTGTCACCACGTAAGACAGATGGCCTTGCTGGGAGAGTGACAACATTTCTCATTTCTGTAACTCACTGCTCTGCTTTTTGGCATGTGTGAAGTAAGTGTGGGCTTCAGGGGTTTCAGCATGAGTTGCCGTTCTCTGGTTTTGTCCTTGAACCATGATCACTGAGAAAACCACGTGCCAAAGCAGGGGTCTCTGTGGAAAGTTCCTGTCATGTTTTAACTTCCCAGCAGAGTAGCTGGAAGGCACCCTGGCTGCCACACCAAAGCCCTTCCACTCTGCTATGGTTGAGTACTGTTCACTTCTACAAATGCCAGTATGCAAATTTCATGCACCAAAAACTGTGCTGCTCCCTTGACATCCCTAGAGGATGTTTTCCACCTTCACTGGTTGGTTTGCCAAGGCAGGCCCAGCCCCTACAGAGACCTGTGAGATGATGACTGGGAAGTGTTGTTACCAAACCCCAGCCCAAAAAATGACCCATGTTTGAGCAAAAAGTGTGGGCAGCTTGTATTCAGGGTTTTTTCACAGACCTGCTGCAAGCAAGGAACAGACTTTTACAACCACTGCTGGAAATTCCTCTTTTTTGTTTCCCCCTAGCAATTTCTGGCTATTTGGCACCACCCAGCTGTGCTACCACTGTTGTCACTACATTCAGCCTTTAAGCACATTGTAGGCCTTGTTGCTGGGCCATGTTCTCCAGGAGCTGCCCATGCATTTCTGGGACTGCAGCGAGCTCTGCTGCACCCATCCCTCATCCCATCACCAACTTGAAGGCTGTAAGGAAAAAAGAAATCAGGAAAGAAAGGAAGAAAGGAAAGAAAAATATTTTAAAAATTGTTGGACTTTTATACTGGCAGCTGGGAAGCTGGCTGAAGTTCTGCAGAGATTGGAATTGACTTCTAATTGATTTATATCTAATTTGGGGCAATTTACAGGTCCCAACCCCAGCACTGATTTGTGACAGACTTGCACAACAGAGATGCTGAATACCTCCTGCATGCTTTGTGAAGAGGCAGACTGCTTGGATAGGGAGAATTGGTTTCCAGCACTTGGAAGGTGCCCATAATGGGCTTCTTGCATCTTTCTAATTCTCAGGCAGTGCATATTTTATTTTGAGATTAATGCGTGGACTTTTGAAGCTGAGAATAGACAGATGAAACTTGCTTAGGTTTCATCCTTGGTTTCCAGTAAGTCTCCAAAACCATTTTAAATTTAAGACCTTGCCCTTGATCTTAAAGCATTCAATGAGTCATTTAAATGAAGGGAACAGTGATTGCTGGGGGACTTCCAGCACAAATTCTGACTTATTCTCTTTTCTGGTCTTGATGCATGATTTTCTCCATGCCAAAAGATGAACAGTCATCTTTTACTTTGAGAAGCTGGATTCACCTCAAACCACATCTGTTCTTTGAGAACATCAGCATCTTTCTGGCTAATCCCTCTCAAGGAAGCCATCAGCTTAAACTGTAAATTGTACTTCCCTTCATTTTTCAATGACTCATGCTTGTTATTATTATTGTTCTGCTTATCAGGGTATCTCTCTTTCTGGGGATGTATTATTTCATGTTTCAGCATCATACCACAAAGTACATATGTAATTTCCAACCACAAATGTAAGAGTAATTGAAAGAGAAATTTGGAAAGTGTTTATTCAAGAGACACATCTCCTAAATCATGTCTGGTAATCAAATGGATTCAATAATTGCCCTAATTTTAACTCAGCATAATGAGGCTTTCCAAACCCACGACTGAGAATTACCCTAATTGAGTCCAGAACCACTCGTGATAGTAAATGCTGAATTTCCTGAGCAGATTTGAGTTCCTGTTCTGGGTTGGAGGTGAGACCAGCTGCAGGGATGCAGGAGCATGGACAAGGCTCTCTGGAAGCAGCATTTTTACTTCCCCCCAAATTTTAGCCCCAGAAGAGCTAAATGTTGACTTTATCTGTGATGTAGTAAAGTCCGTGCTGCCCAGGCTGGTCCTCAGGCATCCCATCTGACCTTCCCCCAGACATCCATGTGAGGGATCCCAAAGGATCCCCTTTCCTCACGGTGTGAGATCTGGTCTCAAATCTATGTTCAACACCACTTTGAATCCTACTGGAACGGTACGAGGGACTTGGCTGGCACCAGAACCTGGGGGTTTTGTTTCTTTGGGTGTGATCATGAGGGATGGATTACAAGCAAGCCTTTGTAGAGTGATTAGTTATGTTTGTTAAACCAGTTCTGAGCTGGATCCAGCCTTTTGGTCACGAGTCAGGCAAGCAAGCACAAGTCCATGTGTGACAGAGTGGAAAACAGCATGTGTGTGGCCCATGCTTAGCAATAGCTGTAAAAAACGAATATCCCACTGGCTGTGTGATGTTACATTAGCCAAGGTGTTCCACTGTTTTGAGCAGTGCCTCTGCTTCCAGAAAAAAAAAAATCTCTCCAAATGAACTGGCTATTAATTGAGGGAGACCTCAAACGATCCCTAACAGCCCATATACTAATTAAAGACAGATCAAAGTGTAGTTTCTCCCGTTCTCTCTGGAGGCAATTGAATTTCTGAGGGGAAAAATAATTCCTCATGGTTTTTCCTTGGTTTCAAGTGCAGAAGTGCACACTGTTTCCTAGCTGGCAGCGAAGATGTGGGTGATGTATGAGGAGCAGCACAGACTGAATGCAGGAACATGCTGCTGCCATTTAATCCCAGATAATATATTTCACAATCCTACTCCTGGAGTTTTTCAGCAACTGGTTTAATGTATTGGAAAGTACTTGGCTTGCCTTGGAAATGTTTCCCATTTGAAAACAAGCTGCAGTGGGAGAGCTGGCAGTTGCACAGGAGGCTGCTCTGTGAAAATTGGATTCCCCTGTGTGGCACAGTGGGAATGGGTCACAGGGAGAGCTTTGAGCAACTCCCAGAAAAGGCTGCAGGCTGTACAGATCTGCCAGTGGAGAACCCTTCTGCTTGGTCTCCAGAGCATTTCTGTCACTCTGTCACTTGGCAGAACAGGGATTTTAGAATGGATTTATTCCTGGTTTCTGTCCCTTGGGCAAGGAGAACGTGCAGAAGAACAGCAAAGCCTGGCTTACACTCATGAATTAAAAATCTTGGGATTATTTTAAATCTCCAGATGTGGAGTAGAATCTCTGCTCTAATTCTGCTCTCAATTCAAGTCTATTTTTTTAACCTCAACAACTACACCCAACTTGTCTGGGTCTAGTTTATCAGTAAGGAATACCAGGACACCTGGTCCTGGCTGAGACAGCCAGAGGTCTGATGCATGTGTTTGGGATACACTGAATTTTCTCCGGGGCCCTGTTACCTGCACAGGAATCAACAATTCCCCCTTCCAGGGGTGATGTGAGGACAATTTCTGCTGCTGTTGTGCAATGCTCTGAGGATGATAATGCTGGAAAAGGCTGCTTGCTCCAGCCCTGGAGAGATTTGTCACTGTGCCTAAGCCCTTTTGGAAACAGATTTATCATTCAGTTTAAGAACAAGGAACAGTATCACATCCAAAAAAGTTCTTCTCCCACCCTGGCTTGCAGCTTTCCCAGGCTTTCCCCTTGCCTTTCCCAGCAGAGAGGACCACACACCCTTTGGTGCTGCTTCTTCCTTCCACATATCTGCAGCTCCTATCTCCACCCCTGGTGCTGCATGAGGCACTGCCAGCCCCTCCAGGCCCCAGAGCTTGCACCCAAACTTGCCTTTTTGCACATTTTTTTTCCAGACCAATCCCTTTCCTTTTTGGGACAGGGTGTGGGAATGCATGCCTGAAACAGATTTTGTGCATGGAAAGCTTCTGGAGGGTGGGCATAAGGCAGGGACCTTGGCTGCACCAGTCTGAGGTGCTCATCCCCATCTTTCTGGACAATGAGGCATTTTTTTGACTTTTACAAACTGGTGTGAACTGGATAAAAATAAAGGGCCGTGTCCTCTGGTTCCACTGACAAAACAGAGCTGCAACAGTGGGAGGTGGAGAAAGGCTCCCCAAACCTGGCAGGGATGTGAAGGGAAAGGGTCTGCAGCACGCAGCCACTGGAGGGCACAAGGAGCAAAGCTAAGACCCTTCTCCAAAAGGCCTCTGCAGGAGTAAGGCTTTATGAATGGGCAGCCTTCTTTCTCTGAGCAGCTGAGCTTCTCCTGAGAGGTTTTATTTTTATGTTTTTTTAAATGGAATGTGTTTTCTGTGCTCCCAGGCTGGCATCTTCAGATGAACCTCAGATCTTGCTGCCTGAAGGTGGGCAGCCCCACAATGGCCATTGCTGGCTCCTCTGGCCTTGGGTGGCTTTTTCAATCCCTCTGTAACACATCCTTACCCTGGAGCATGGAAGGAGGAATGAGTTAAAATGCCTGCACCCTGTGGCAATGACTACACAGGACAGATGGACTCCTGGAAGTGGGAAGTGTTTGGGTTTCAAGGCTCATTTTTAAACACCCACCGAGGCAAAGGAATGAGAATTTGTCCTATTTTGCTCCAAGAGGCACTGCCTGGCTCTGTGCTTGCTGTTTACACTCAGAGGCCGTGGGATGTCTCTCTTGCCCTTCCTGAAATGTCTAAAAAAAGCGTCTTTGGTTACTCTGTGTTACAATGGGACATCTGCAGCCTGTTCCAGGGCTGAGTTGTTATTCGTCACAACGGGGAGTGAAGTGGGAAGAAGTTGAAGAAACCCTCCATTCCAGACACCAGGAACTGGCATGGAAGGAATAATGATAGGCTGTGCAAAATGACTATTGCACCCCAAGGCAGGACCCTCACACCCCCTAAACCAGCCCTGACAGTCCCTACATTAGACTGGGAGGAGAATTTGTCCTATTTTGCTCCAAGAGGCACTGCCTGGCTCTGTGCTTGCTGTTTACACTCAGAGGCCGTGGGATGTCTCTCTTGCCCTTCCTGAAATGTCTAAAAAAAGCGTCTTTGGTTACTCTGTGTTACAATGGGACATCTGCAGCCTGTTCCAGGGCTGAGTTGTGTTATTCGTCACAAAAGGGAGAAGTGGGAAGAAGTTGAAGAAACCCTCCATTCCAGACACCAGGAACTGGCATGGAAGGAATAATGATAGGCTGTGCAAAATGACTATTGCACCCCAAGGCAGGACCCTCACACCCCCTAAACCAGCCCTGACAGTCCCTACATTAGACTGGGAGTGGGGTTAATGATCCTTCTGGGAAGGGCTGGGGAAAAAAAAAAAAAAGAAAGAAAAAAAAGAGATCATAGAGAATAGAATGATGCCTGGAAAACTCTGGGAAGGGCTGGGGAAAAAAAAAAAAAAGAGAGAAAAAAAAGAGATCATAGAGAAGAGAATGATGCCTGGGAAATAGTAATATGGTTTAATGCTCAGTGAGAGCAAAACAGAGAGGTGAAGAGATCCCTGCCTGGGAGCATCCAGCTGCTTTCTCTGCCTGGCTCTGGTGCCTGCTACCCTTTGATTTCAGTCAGGTCTTGCTCCTGCTGCCTCAAAAACACTTACTGACAGTGAGACATATGAGGTGAGAAGTCAGTCTTGAGAGTAACACTGGAAAATAATTTGTGGAGGGAAAGAAACTACATGTTTGGCCAGGTCTACAAGCCAGGTCTTGAACCAGCAGAATTGCTTTGGCAAGAAGCATGGCTCTGTTTGACTGAGATAGTTATGAATCCAGCTTCAAGGCTGACTGCATCTTTATGACCTGAAATTGCTTCACAGGTGTAATTTATTCTCCTTTTCATACAGGAATAACTCTGGCATGGGCTGGTCATGCTGTAAGTAACACCCAGAGGGTGAGCAAAACCCAATTATTCAGTCTGACAAAACAGGAGCTTGAGGGGCTCACAGTAACCTGTCAAGTGACAGGTTCAGCACTGTCAGAGTGAGGACTTGGTGCACTAAAGCTGTGGACTGCCTTGGGGGCTCCTGTGGGTGCTGATGTGAGTTCAGCATTTGGGCAAGCTCATGGATTTTGATGTACAGACCCCATCTCCTGCATGGGCAGCCTTGTGCCAGGCTGGCAGAGGGCTTGGCCCCTGTGCTGGGGCATGGCAGAGCTGCCTGAGCCTTGCACTGCTGGGGGACACGTTAGATAAGGTCAGAGAAGGTTGGGCTGGACTGACTTTTGGTGTGATCATAAACACACATGGGATGTTTCACTTTTTTGACTGTGTCTACCCCAGCTGCTCTGCCAGCTTTCAGGGCTGGGTTTCCATGCATTTTTGGCACACAGAAGGCCTGTGACACATAGATCAACCCTTTGAAGGTCAGAGTCTTCACCCAGAAGTGGCTTGAAGGCCAGACAGCACGTCTGAAAAGCCATGCCCGGATATGACACCCTTTTTTCTTCACCTGGTTGAAGGTTTAGACACCACTCACCCTTGGAAACCAACAGCATCACCAAATCATTGCTAAATGGCTTCATGGTTCATATGGAATCAAAACATAGCAGCAAGGACTCCTGCCTTCAAACTGGTCTCTGTTCTAAAAACTCGCAGAATAAAATTATTATAAAAATTGAATTAAATATTAAAAATGTTTTTGTAAACACCATCAGAAAAGTTTTTCAGAGCCACAGGGATAAAAGCTGAAATTGCCTTTATTTATCTTAGTATAAAAGAGGAAGAGGTAGAATCAGTCATTTCTAACATGCTAATCTTTTCATAACCCTGTCCATTAGATGCTTCAAGTGTCTCTGAACTGAGCTCAGGTCTTGTCATTTAAACATGTCTTTCAGACCATAACACCTGATCCAATATGATGGCTCAAGTCACCTATTAAGTTTTATACCCTTACTTCTTCTTCCAAAAGTGCTGTGCAATGCCAGAAAAGCTTCTCCATGTCAGTTCCTGGAAGAGACATGATTTCTTGCAAGCTGCAAAATCCAAGCAGAACCAGCAAGCTCTTCCATGCCCTTCCTCTGCATTTTTGTGAAAGCACCTTAAAAACAACTTGCAAAGCAAGTGCACTTCTCAGGCTGTTAGCACAACCTAGCTGCAAACTGAGGAGCAAATTTCTTACCATTAATATCCAGGCTTTGTGTAATTGTAAGTATTGAGTTCTAAAAGGTCTTATCTCAGCAAAAGGTAGGAGAAATTTTATTTCTATGGGAATTTCTTTAGAATAATTAACTAGCAATTCTCCAGTGAAGAACTCAATTCCCAACATGTTATGGCAATAGTTTTGCTATTAGAAAACACTTTTTTTCATTTTTTGTGTGTTCAGAATTTGCTGTTAATGACTCCATTTTCATTGCATCCCCTCCAGCACGTGGTGGTTGTTGTTCCTCTTCAGGAGTAAACTGAACGGGCCAGCATCTTCTTTGCTGGCTTCCTACATTGTCCTTACTCACCTTTCCAATTTGCTGGAGATCCTTGACAATTATTTTTTCAGTATCTTCTAGTACTGTTGTCAATAAATTAAACAGCAGAGCAATCCAGGCAAGGCCAAAAAGAATCCAAATGGCCACAAGCACTCGATAGTAGGAAAAGTATTTCCTGTCAGACTGTTTGCCTGAAGATAAGGAGGGAGAAAGAAGGAGAAAATGAAAAAGTTAAAATTGCCTTGCCAGTGTAAAGTGGAACAGCCTAATGAATTCATCAATATGTTTTATGTTGAGTACTTTAAGGTGACTTTTTCACTGTAATGGAGACTCTCAGCTCCAGAGAATTAGGTTAAGGCTGGGCAATTCTCTTATTGTTTCAATGAACTGATACATGCAATAAACATGATACCAATATGCTGGCCTGCCAAATGACACACTGGAATTGAAGTTAATCATTCTGTGATTCTATGATTCTGTGATTGAGGCGAATTACCATCACCTCAGCAGGTTATTTTTCCCCCTTACTACATATCAACACCAGTAAAACTGCTGCACATACAGGTAAACGAAATAATGTGGGAAGTAGTGTTAAATTGTATTGTATTATCTTGGAATTGCACCCTAACTCCCAAAGCACAAAAAGCAGAGCACAGTGGACCACTATAATCACACAACCATTATTATCTGGGTAATTGTAACTCCCTGTATTTCTATGGAGTGTGATTATAACTTAATAAATAATTCCTTTAAATTACACGTACCTGCAAGCACACAAAGAAAGTAGCTGCAATTCCTACCTCACTTTTGAATGGTTTCAGGAGCTCCCCCATTAAAAAACTACATGACTGATGAGAATTTACTGACACATGCCAAGAACAGAACTTTCTATGTTGGAAACCAGTGGACCAAAGCTTATTTCATGCAGTCTGATCCTCTTAGCATCAGCCAGGACCTCACATCTGCTGTTCTGCATGGGTCATTTTGTTTGATCCTTCAGATGTCAGCAACCCACCCCCCAACATCCAGAGAGCATTTGCTTGGCCCCACACAATATTATCATCATGTACAGGTGATGTGGCCCTGGCATCTGCAGGGACACTTGGTGATACTGCTTATGGAGTGCTCCAAGTCACTGCCAGAGGTGACTTGACAAGGTTGATAACACAGCAATGTGCTTGGACAGGGAGACCACCACAAACCTTGTGGTGAACCTGCCCAGAAGGAGCCTGGGTGCTGGCAACTCTTTCCAAGTCCTGCAGTGCTCTGTACTGCATAGATTAATGGGCAAGATTTTTGTTCTTTGTTATCCAAGAGCTCTGGAAATGGGGCAGCAGTGAGCTGGTTTGTCCTCATGCACAGGTATCCAACAGCTCTTTCTTTTTCTGCTGCTGGCATTGAGTTGGCAAAGGGATTCTCAGCCTTGGTACAAAGTATCTCCTTGTTGTGCTCTTATCTGGAGTTCATGTGGGGTTAGCAAAGCCACAAGTAATATCTTTGTATTGTTGACCAAAACTGGACTTGAGCAGGGAATATTCAGTTAACAACCCCAGGGAGTTTCACCCTAGAGGTACCACCTGTATGCACATGTATTCCAGGCTGAGCCATCTTCCTAGCATGTCTGCCTTCCCCAAACAGGCTCAGCTACAAACCAGTTTTGAATTAGTAAAATGCATATCAACTCAAACCTGTTCTGTTCCACTTGGCCAGTGCAAAACCATTTATCATCCGTAAGCAATTCTCAGTGCATAATTCTCAGAGCAGTCATTGATTCTGCTTGTTTAATTGTGAAGATGTGAAGCATTAAACTTATCAACATTTTATTACTGTTGTTAAGGCAAATTAAGATAAATACTGGCACAGAAAAATATTTCAGCTTCAGTTGTCATCCTAATGAAGATGAAATCATAGAGCCACGAGGCTTATCAAATTGCTATTTTTAAATAACAATTAGAAAGTTAAAATACAATTAATTGGTTTTGTAAAGCAATATGGCTGCAGAGGAGTGCTATGGAAGTCATGGTTTCCAGGCTGTGACTTGCTGTCATTATTGTAAAACACACCTGTGATTTGGACAAGGAAAGACAATGCAACATTTTGATGCTCAGTTTTTCTCCTGCATGACACCAGCCCCTCCTCACCATTCTGTGCAGCAGACTATTTCAAGGAATAATTTTAATAAGATAAATACTGGCACAGAAAAATATTTCAGCTTCAGTTGTCATCCTAATGAAGATGAAATCATAGAGCCACGAGGCTTATCAAATTGCTATTTTTAAATAACAATTAGAAAGTTAAAATACAATTAATTGGTTTTGTAAAGCAATATGGCTGCAGAGGAGTGCTATGAAAGTCATGGTTTCCAGGCTGTGACTTGCTGTCATTATTGTAAAACACGCCTGTGATTTGGACAAGGAAAGACAATGCAACATTTTGATGCTCAGTTTTTCTCCTGCATGACACCAGCCCTCCCCACCATTCTGTACAGCAGACTATTTCAAGGAATAGTTTGAGAGAAATTACAGTCAACAGTGACACATCATGCCTGGAAAAGTTTGTGGGCTCCCTCTGCCAAAGGCATCAGCCTTATGTAAGAAATCCTTCCAACTCAGAGGCTCCAAGGCCTGTCTGGAACTTCTGCAAGGCTTGAGAGCCTAGGGTTTGCTGTGTGGTGGATGTCTGTCCCTCAGAAAGGTGTGTGAGCCTTCCAGACCCTCTGTGGGGACAGCACTGGTGCAAGTATTAGCTCCAGTTTTCTTTGCATACCCCTGCTGAGGAGAAGTTCAGGCTGTCAAGATGATGGCAGGACAGACTGTTGTAGAGGAATCTTGGATGCTCCATGGAGTTCCGTTTCCTGCTTCTTCTGTGGACACTGATTTTGCTCCTGGTAATTATTTTGCAGCTCCTTTGGAAACTTATTCCATGGAGAGTGTATTTTGTCCAGCAGATCCACGGAAATGTTTTGAGAAGGATTCCAGCATGCTTGAGTGCAGCTTGAACAGTGTTCTTCAGGGGAAATCCTAATCTCTGGCTTGTGAGGATAGAAAACTTCCAGAGATACTCAGGAGACTAAAGATTATTTCTAATAGTGTGAGTAGATTTCCCCAATTTCCCATGACTGGGATTTCCACCTTTTAGTCTGTTGTGTGAAGTCATATATTCTGAAACATGATCACTTATTTCTTCACTTTGCACTGTGAAACCTAAATCTGAGATGGCTAAAGCAATGATACACACCTTGTTTTGTACAGCTGTCATAAACTGTTCCCTCTAGGTAATAAAAATTCCACTTTCACTTCCCTCACCAAAATACTTGTCTTCTTTGCACCCCAAAGCACCTAATTTTTTTATATTTTGATGACTTTGTGCTTTTATCAGGACATACAACCCCAGAGAACTGAGTATTTTCACCCAGAACTGTACAAGGCAAAGACTAGGCAAAGACTTTTGACAGAGTTGAATCTACAGTTCATTCAGTCAGCCCCTGGGAATTACAGTCATTATCCTGGTGTTTTGATGTGTTTCTTCTCTGCAATCAACCTTACCTACTACATAATCTCCGAAGCCAATGGTGCTGAGGGTGATAAATGCAAAGTAAATTCCTTCACTGTAGGACCAGCCCTCTGTTATCTGGAAGAAGACTGATGGCAAGAACAGAAAAACCAGGATCCCCGTCGCCAGGAAGAACAAAAGGGTCAGAAATTTGATCTTCTTCTGAAAAATAAAGCAGTTTAATTATAATCATGATTTGAAACACAAATAAGCTATATATAGTGGTGGCTATTCAAAGTGGGTGGCTATATGGGATCAGGAGGATCTGAAGGATTTCTACTGAGTGCTTTTTCTCTGGAAATACCTTAGTCTTGCTAAGAAGCAGGGGAAAGCCAGGTGTTATGGGTGTTTCATGTCCAGTGGCCCTGGAAGATGTAGTCTTTTACCTGATTGTATCAATGACTGTGACTATTGGAAGAATTCCTATCTAATGACATTTACCAGAGTCAAACCATTTCCACTCATCACCACACAGCTTAATTTTTAATTTTTAGGTATTTAGGGTTGGCACCTAAATTCAGATTTGCCTGGGAAAAGAGTATTTTTAATAAAAAATAATTGCACCACTTCTGACAGTACTCTTTAAGAGTCTTGATTATTTTTCATTGCATCAATGCCACAACTTGGCTCCTAACCAGTGGATATCTCACTATGAAAAAAACTAATGAGATCTTGATAAAGAAGAGCCTGGACAGTGACTTTTAAGCCGTTCTACTTCCCAGCAGTCATGAAGGAGCTTTGACTAGAGAAGAAGATTTGTTACATGTAGAGATTTATCAGCCAGACATACATAGTTTCTATGTATAGAATTTTCCAAATCCAGATTGCCTGGAAATTAATGGCAACTGCTGGGTAACTTTTCATGTTTTCATGTATTGTGTACATGCTTGAGTCTGTATCTGATTGAGCCTTATCTTCTGTTTAAGTTTGCCATATATGACAGGAAATTCAGCAATCTGAACAGGGTTATCTGTAGCAATCATACCTTGTCCTGAAAGAGAATTATAGTAGGAGACACAGAAAAGCTATTCTCACTGCCTCAGCAGTGCTGAGAGAAGGGGAGGAGCTGAAAATAAATTGGGGCATAAACCAGATAAAAGACATCCTGTCTGTAGCTTGTTACAGGTGTCTCCTCATCCTTCAGCAACTAGGCTCAAATGGACAACTTCAGCCTGATGCTTCCTTTCTCTCAGAGTTAAGGGTGGAGAGAGACTTAAGGACTGGGTAATCCCACTACTATGAGGAGTAACCCACCATGCATTGAGTTAAAATCCATTTTAACCTCTACACCTCACCTAATTTTTACAGCTTTGCACAGCTCACCTGCTTTTTGCTGCCTTAAGGTGATGCTTAATCACTTTTACTGGTTTTAACGGGATGCATGCACTTCCCTAGGGTGTTGGCTCCTGAGATGTGTCTCAAGAAGTGGGGTGGGATGCCCACTCTCTCCACTGATTGCTGAAGGGGGCTGGATTTCTGCCATTCCCATCAGATGGGAAGACAAAATGCATGCCTTTGTCTGAATATCTCCTCTATGGCTGACATGTCTGCTTAGCTCTGCAAGTGAAGAATGCCTCTTTTTCTGCCCTAGAACAACATCTAACCCAGCACAAAAACAAATACAATTGAGGATAAGGCAGCATAAAACTTGAGAAAAACACTAGAAATGAGCATATAATTGTGCCTGAGTAGGTAAAACCAATTACCTTTCTCATTCCTTTCTCGTACAGGAATTTCCCCAGCTTTTTACAGAGCAGTGAGAGCATCTTACCAACACGGTGCAGAAAAACAATGTTCAGAGGGATTCCAAAAAGAGCAAAAAACACACAAAAGATCTGTCCCCCAGCAGTTTTAGGATGTAATGTGCCATAGCCTATAAAAAAAAGATGGGTCAGAGGAGATATTCCAAAGAACTGCAGCAATTCACAGTCATATTCACCTTTACTCCAATCCAGCCTGCCTTTGACCCTAAAAGATGTGGCTAGCGTTTCTCAGCCCAAATGCACTATTTTTTCCTCTGAAAAAGGCAGTTAGCAGATGAAGTGGTTCACCCTGCATGTCTGGAGGAATGCAGAAGCACTGTGTGTTCCCAACCCAGCCTTAGTGGGAACAAAACCTCAATCAAGATGTAACTATGGGAAACATGCTCTGTCCTGTGACAAATACATGGAAAGTCAGAAAATAGAAGTCTGAGGATCTGGAAGACATCAGAGCTGGAGTCCCAGGCTGTCAGGATCACATGCAGCCATCTCCAGCTTCTTGCTGATCTGCCTGTGTTAGTGACCTCCCTGGCTTCATCCCAGTGAGTTGCTATGTCCAGATACTGACTCCAGTCCCAAGGCAGCAGTGTGCATTAGAATAGATGGTGCTCATTAGCCCAGACCTTGCCGGTAGCTGATTTATTAATGACAGAGAGACATTAGCCTTAAGGTCCTACTAAGAGAGGATTTATCTAAGTAGTGGAACAACCCCAAACATGCCCTTTAGTCTCAAGACTCTTGGACCTTATGAGGTACATGCCTGAGTGCAAGAATACTGAACTTTTTGTATGTCCTTATGCTATCAATGACCCTGGGAAACTGCATTTGCCATGCACATTTCATGTCAAGGCATCCATTACCTGGAAAATGCAATGTTTTCTTTGGGGGAAAAGACAAAACAACTGAATGAATTTTGTGCTACTAGATTCCTAAATGCATGAGCTGTCTTGTGCTCCCTGTTGCAGAAATATTCCAATTTCAATGATGGGTGAGAACCCTCCCCTTCTACAGCAGGAGATCTCCTGTGGGCTCAGGCAGCACTTACACAGCTCCCGTGGTGCTGGGACACTACTGGGGCCCTTGGGACATGTCACACTCACAAATCAGATGTGTTTAGGATCTGGTGGGAGTGAGGCCTCAGCACCACTTTGTAAAAACACACATTTGACTTCCAGTGCGTGACTGTGAAGAAGGTGCCAACAGTATGGATTTTATCCTTAAGTTTGGCAGGCCTGCACTTTTTGAGATGTACATTTGAAAGAAAGGATGAAGCAGGTAGGGGCAGGCAGGCCCTGTAAAGGTCAGAACAGCTTGAAGCAGCAGTGTAAAATTCTCAGCATTTGCCTTTACCCCTTCCCATTTTTTTCCTCCTGGCATGTTACTAATTGAATATATGAATTAGCAACTCAAAACAGGTTATGGAGATGGGCCCCAGCAGGATTCACTTTTTTCCTTATATTTTTTATGTTTTACAGCACTCTCAGATTTAAAGCCTGGAATAAACACCAGGAAAGTGAAGTTTATCTCTCACCTACAAATATCAGCAGAGTGACCATTATAACAGATGATTTGAAAAGAAGAAACAAGTGGGAAATAATAGGAAAGGCCACTGATATTTGACAAGCCAAAATAAAGCATGAAAAACTGTGCACTGGGAAGGTCTTAGGACTTAGTCCTTGCCTGCTTGTCACCCATGACAGCAAAGGGCTGGAGTTTTCATCCTGGAAAGTATTATCCATTCATGTCCTAATAACCAGACATAATAAGCATCACTCACACACAAGCACACATAAATAGAAACCATTAGACTTACCTATTGTGGAGACAACTGTGCCTGCAAAGAAGAAGGAGTTGCTGAAATCCCAGTTGCTCTCTTCAAACTGTGATTCATTCCCAACAGGGTATACTCCATTTTGAATGGCTTCAATCAGGTTCTGGGAGAGAAAGCAAAGTTTGGTATAATCATGACTGCTTTTCTCAAGTGCAAAACCATTACTGCAAAACCATTAGAGGTTTAGCCAACTACTGCTCCTCTCCTGCGAGTAGCACTCACCTCACTTCAGAGATTGTCTGACACTATTCACACCTTCACCTCCAAGGTTGGGAAGCCATTATCCAGTGGGTTTGGGTGTTCAACTTCTGCCCTGTTTGTGCTGACTGCTCCAGTGGGTGTTTGGAGAGAAATTGTTTCTTTCAGTGTGACCAAGGGCCTTGTTTCTTTCAGGCCAAGTAGTTTGGAAAATCACAATCCTGTAGTGACTAGGATGTGGCAGAGCACTGGTTTAAGAGATGGGGGTGGCTGATTGTTTGATTTGGACTTGCAGTTGAGATGGCAGTGGTGGATCCAAGATCTGATCACCCACTTGTATGAGCAGTGGTTCTGATCCCTCCCAGTGGTGCATCAGTGAGTTGTGCCAGGCTACACATGAGATACACCGAGAATTTTATTTCAAGTCTGTATTTTGATTAGTGTCACAGAATTAAAATCAGAAAAGGTCCATTGATTTGCAAAGCCTGACATACACATTCTTCTCCAAACTGTGTGCATGAATACACATTTATACATTTACACACGTTTGCAAAGTTGCCTTTGAGAAGAGGATGGAGGAACATCTGTCAGAGATGGTTTGGGGTGAGTTGAGACTGCCCTGCCACACAAGGCTTGACTAAATATTTCTTCCACATCTCTCCAGTGCTATAATTTATCACTTTATGCATTTTCAGACTCTTCCTTGGTTTTAATTCTAAGTGCCATTATTTTTTATCTCTTTGTTTTTTTTTAAGTTAAAAGGAAATTTTAAAAACAAACAGTATCCAGTTGCCCCTGTGTTTAGCAGAGAACATTAGACTGGACATCTGGAAAGCAGGCTGGTTTGTACAGAAACAACTGAGATAAAATCCAGGACAGAGCCCTGCCAGAAGCAGGATGCATGCTGGAATAAATTGCACCAGCAAAATCTTCCTCCCTGCTTCTTCCTTCATTATGTTTTTTGCTGATGTCTCAGAAAATTGAGGCTAACAAAAATAATTTCCATAGCCCTTGCACAAAGATTTGTTTGTCTTAAAATCTCATCTTTTTTTTCCCTTCCCTTCTTGAAAAGCTCTCTTTTTTTTTACCTTCTTTCCTACCCATAAAAAACAAGGTGAAGAGGATGCATGCATGGGTGAAACAGGGTCTGAATTGCTGGTTCTGCTATTAGAAACACCAGTTCTTCCCCACATTTCTTTATTCTCTGAAGTGGCCCATTAAGAGCTCCATTAGTTTTCCATGTGGAAATGCTTCCAGCAAGGCTTTAACTCCTCATTTTCTCCTGCATTATAGCAGATAGAGCTCTAAGAAACCCAGGTTGAAGAGACAGCCATATTCATCTTCACCTTCCTGTGCTATGACCAGAAATACTTTCCTCTGGCCAAGCCACTTGTTTCTCTTCTTCAGCATCTAAAAACTAAACTCTGATCGTGCTACCCTCCTTGTAGTTTTTTTGAGTTTTGTTTGTTTGGGGTTTTTTCCTCCATCCAGACCTTTCCTTATTGTTTCTATATTGCACAATCCGTGACGCTGTTCCGAGTGGCAGCCACACCTATTCATTTCAGACAGCCTCATTTTTCTTGCCATGTCACCCATTGTGTAAGAGCACAGCCCCACTAAAAGCAGAATCAACAGGAGGCAAGACCCCAAAAAACCCAGGATATTGTGGGATGGGGATTTTTAATAGCTAGCACACACAAAGTTTTGTCCAGCTACACAAGCTGTATTTACCATCAGACTGAGCTGCCAGCTCACACCCGAGAGGGGTTTGCTGGAAGCATCCAGGTGACCACAATCAGAAGGAAAGCAGTGAGAGTTACCTGCGCAGCAAGGACGAGCAGGAAACAACATCTGATGGGGAAACAGGAGGGAGAAAGGACTTCCACTCACCTTCATGAACTGCTCCATCTCAGCCACCGTGAGCTGCGTGAAGTTCTGCAGAAAAGCCTCCTTCATCTGGGCAGCTGCCATTTTCTCTTGTTTCTCAGCAGTCCTCTCCAGGGCCTGGAACACGGCAGCACCCACCAGCAGGTAGACAAAATAGCCAGCCACCAGCAAAGCTGTCTGCAGCCTGCCACTGCACATGGCCTTCAGAGCAGCTCTGCAGAGGACAGGGAGCGAGAGGAGGCGATTGTAAATCCCTCACACTCCTGGGAAGCCTCCCCTGGGCAGGAAGAGCCCTCCCACCTCTGGTTTCCGCTGGGATCCCGCACTGGCAGGGACAGTGTGCTGCCAGATGCATTCATTGGGAAGCTGGAAGGGGTGTGTGGGGGGGAGAGCCACAATAAACCCAACCCCCCCCACCAAGAAAAAACTTTCCATTCTCTGGGCTGCATGCTGTTTAGGGATTTCCTCTTGTCCGTGAAACTCTCCCTTGCTGAGTTCTCAGGAAAAGTCGGTCAGGATTTGAGCAGCTAGCTGGCAGGTGGCCATCTCCTGCTCAGAAGGCTCTGGGGACAGGTGGGGATAGTCTGGAAGGGGTTCACAGGGGAGTTTGCTTGGAAAACCATTGTTTGCCCTCCTGTGTCTCCTGCTGAGTCCAAGAACAGGACTCCAGGGCAAGCCTCTGATCCCAGGAGCTCCTTTGTGCCCCATGTTCAGGGGCAGCCTCAGGGAAATGCAGCTGGACTGATCTTTTGGGCTTCACTTGTCTGCTTGCAGCACAGGGCAGGGTCATGCAGCCCTGCAGAGCTTCAACAGCTCAGAGCAAGCCCTTGGACACACATGCAAATGGCTGTGAGTTGCATATGTGCCAAATCTGAACAGGTTCTTCTGCCAGCAATTCCTCTGCAGTGTATCCAAGGGAATACATTACACTGGTACTGGGTGCACAGTCAGATGGATAAAAAAAGTAGCTATGCCATCAGATCAGTGCAGTCATAAAATTACAGAATTCTTTAGGTTGGAAAAGACCTCAAAGATCATCAGACATGGTGCTTAGGGACACAGGTTAGTGGTGGGCAGTGCTGGGTTAATGGTTGGACTCAGTGGCCTTAAGGGTCTTTTCCAATCTAAATTACTTTGTTTCTCTGCTACCTACAGCAATGTAGCCTCTGCTGATTTCAGAAAGATGGTTCTCATGCATTTAGAAGTCATTTATATAACAGTGAGAGCCTGTTCCCATTAGCTTCAAGAAGAGTTTGGGTGTCACTGAGAAGAATTTGTGAGAGAGGGAAGTTCTTGAATGAAGATGTTTGTTTTGGAACAGACAGCAGACAGGTCTGAGCTTGGCTGCACCATGGACATTGTTAAGATTCATTAATTTTCTTGACTTTATATTTCCCAGCATTTTAATTTGTTTTGTGCACAATTTCTTTTTTATTTCAGCAGATGCCCTACTTTAATAATGAGAACACACTGAAGCAAATCATCCTTTGAAAAAGCATTTAAAATGTACCACCTATTCTGTTCTTCAAGTCTTTGTGGTTTTATTGAGTTTGAAAACACCAAGAAAAGGCAGAGACTCTGGGATTAGCTTTGCAGAACTGGTGTAAACAAGAAGCGACACATGGCTTCACTCTGTCTACTGCAGGTTGTCCTTTCACATATAAATCTGTTTGACCTTAGAGGAAAACAGGAAGACTATGAATGAAGGTAAGCAGCTTCCAAAACCCTTGCACGTTTGAAGATCTTCCTTAGGGTTACTGGAAAAGGATTTGTTGAAACAGGATGTGCCGTATTTCCTTTAACTTCTTTTGAAGCTACACGTCAAAGGTGTGCTTCTTCCTCAGATATAAATTATTGCTCTAAAATAAGGATAACCACGGCTCCATCCTTTTGTGTCTCTCAGTCTCCCAGCCCCATAAGATAAGATAAAGACCTTTAGATGTGTAAGTGCAACATGTGTTCATCATTCTCAACAGACAGGAAGATAATACAACTGGATTATTTCCTCAGTTCATCTGAGGGGAAAATGGATGACAAAATTATGAAACTCATGGAAGATCATGAGAATTTCAATATTGATGACAGCTGCAGTGGTTTGATTGTGTGCGTAAGATGTCAAGAAACCTCATCTTTCTTATGCTGTCTCCTCCAGTCTGTATATATATATATATAATAAGTTGGGTTTCCCTCTAAGCCCCTCTCCAAAGGGGCTATTTGTGCCTGCATCTCCAGAAACCTTTGATTGCAAGGAAGTTTGGTGACCTTGTTTTTTCTCTAGGTCTGGAACAGGGAATACACACCAACTTTTCTCAGTCTGTTTCTTCATACAAAGAATCTTTAATAGCCTGCCTGTGTATCTTTAATAATCACTACAGATTGTTTGAATGTGAGAGGAGTGTCCCATCACACAGCATCTTGTTCATACTTGGGTTGACACTTCCACAGGCAACAAGGGAGGGAAAACACAGTTCACTGCTAGGATGTTTGTAGATAAGTTGCTCTGAGGAAGAAAGGAAGGGGGAATTCACTCAGTGGAATGCTTTACTTGAGGCCATTCCTTGTAAAGGTAAGAGTACTTTCCATTAGCGTTGACTGCTCTCCTCTCCTTATTTTGCCTAGATTAAAAACTGAAAAACATGCTCTTGGTGGAGGCTGCTAGAGCTGTACTGCTTGTTATAGCTTCTGAGTGTCAGAGGCTTGAGACAAAGCACCATTACTGACTCAGTTTCCCCACAGGGGTCTGGGTACTGGGTTAGCTTGACACCATTCACCCCAGTCATGAAAACAAAGCACTTCCCAAGTGCTGGGAGCTGCTGTAGATACAACACCCTCATCCAAAGGCTGATGCTGGCATCTCACAACTGCTTCATAACCACACTGATAACCTGTCTAGAGAGCTGGGAAGGTAAAGGGGAACACTGTCCCTGGTGAACCAGCTACCATTACCTTTGTCCATTGGGAGATCATGAATACATGCCATCTAGATGCAAGTTATCATAGAAGTCATATAATAGTTTGGGTTGGAAAGAAGGATGTTAAAAATTGTCTACTTCCAACACCGCTGCTGTGGGCAAGGAAGCCACCCACTATGTCAGGAAGAGCCACGCTCAGGGCCCTATCCAACACTGCCAGGCAATCTAATAGAACTATTTATGTAAATCAAAACAAGCTTCTGCTGGCAGCATCTCTTCTCTTGACACCCCAATCCCTTATGGTGCCATAAGTTCTGACAGACCTATTCAATGGCATTTGTTTCTCAAGAAGGAGCTGAAGAAATAGAAGTGAGGCCTTATCTCTGTAGCTTTCAGTTGTGGGAAACCAATAGATCCAGTTACCAAGAATATCTCCACTACTCATAAACTGACAGAACTTCTGTGGGTCCAGTTCCCTTGGGACTGCCCCACTGCCACCCAATGTGTGGCTTGTAGTTACAGCAACAAGATCCACCAGGTTGCCCGAGGCTGTGGTGTGTTGGGGTGTAGTTCCCTGGCAAGGAGTGGTGGTAGAACGTGGCTATAATGGCCCTGCAAACCTTGTGCTCAGGTGCTGTGAGGGCTGGCAGCTCCCTCAGGGTCCAGGAGCTGGGAGCTGAGTATGCTAACACTGTGGTCTCTCTGTTCCACTGCCCCCATCCAGGGAGCAGGGCAGACCTGGAGGTTCTCAGCAGGTTCAGCGAGGTGTGCTGAGTGTTCTTAGAGCAAGTTCATGGTGATGAGACAGGATGAGCTCAAGTGAGAAAATCATCCTGCAGCTCAGCAGGGCTGTGGTGACTGGGCCAGGCAGGATCTCCTGGTGGGCTTGACTTTTTGGGACCCATGGCTGGGCTGGGCAAGATGGAATGGGCATCCTGCAATGGCACTGGAACACAGACTGACAGCCCTAGTTTGGGCTGGAGATGGGTTCTGGGCCACTGAAGATAGAAAGGAAGCTTGGGTGGGCTGGACATAGCCTTGGCAGACATGGAGGCAGTGTGTCTGGTAAGGCAGTTAATACTTTTTGTTCCTGAGCCAGGAGAGATCCATGACACAGTTAAGGGACAGGGAAGGAGGAGCCATGCTGACTTTTTTCACCTGCATTATTTACCCAGTCCACTGCAAGGAAACCCAGGCAGTGAGATCCAGTGGTAACAGAGGGCAGGGAACAGAGGGCATTTCCTGCCTGTAACATGATGTGCTGGGACAGGGTTTTCTTACACTGAGTCCTCTGTCTTCAGTGTGTCCTTTCCTCCTCCACACCCCAGTCATACCCACAGTGTAGCCATTTTCTTTTTTTTGCATCTTGCTGCAGCATTATACATTCTGTGTCCTTAAGAAGATTATAGCCTAAAATAAATTCCAGTTTAATGGAAAATATTATCAGTTTCCATGGGAATTACCATGTGATTGTGGTTGTACTTCCTGTTGTGCTTAGGGCTAAAACCATTAAATGATCTGTATTTTTTTACACTTTCTTACAGTTCTCCTATAAATATCTATTCCTCATAGCGGGTCAGAACATTCAGTCTTCAAACATGGCTCATTTTGGTTTTTATGCTGTGATCTTATGCCAGATTATCAAATACTTAGTCTAAAGCTGGATTCCACGGAGATCCTCCTACTTCCTAGTTTGTTATTTCAGGTCTGCAAAGCCAAATTCCTGTGGATAGCTATCAGCTGTCAAGCAAATGGGCTAATATTCTTGAGTGCTGAAGCTGGTCACTTGCCTTTGGTAGCTGGCTAAGACCTCTGGTGTTCAGGAGGTAAGGGCTGCTGTGTCAGGCAACCGAGCATGTAGAACTACCCAACTGCTGTGTGAGTCCTGGCTCACAGCATTGGACACAGTGATCAGTTGGGCCCAGGAAGAAGGGAGAGGTGAGGCAAAGATATTTTAAGAAAACTGGTTTTATTTTTCATTATCCCACTCTGATTCAGTTGATAGCAAATTAAATATGCTTCCCTCAGATGAGCCTGAACAATCTCTCTGTTCTTGTCTCAGCCCACAAGTCTTTGGTCCTTATTTTCTCTCTCTGTCCAGCTGAGGTCAACCAACCACAACAGTGAGTGCCTGCATTCCCCACCAAAGTGAGGCACAGACACTCAACATAGGAAACATCTGCTCAAGATGCCATTTATTGGCATATTTGCACAGGGTAAAACTTCCAGAGGGATTGGACTGTCTCAAAAAGAGACCGCATTCATTGTCCATGTGGTCTCTAGTTCCAGGCTCCTTGCCACACCCTCTTCATCTTTGGATCTGACTCCCAGAGTGAGCTTTTGCTGTCAGAGAATGGTGCAGCAAAAATTACAAACACTGACAAAGCAGCGTCTTCCCCATGTCCTGTG